AAAAACCTTAATGGAAGAGAAATGTCCAGCGACTTGCGGGTTCTGTAACAGTAACGGAGGAGCTCAAGCACCGGAAACAACTGCAGCGGCTGGTGTGACGACGACGGCTTCATCAGGTGGTGTGCATATTATATAGGTTGTGAGAATGGTTCATTTTTACCATCATTATTCTTTTCTTTTTGTAGGGTCAAGTAGCGAGTGCGTAGATAAATCGTCTGCGAAAAGAAGAAGAGTCTTTGCACTAACGCGCTGTACAAGGACTTAATGATGGAAAAATGCGCAGCAACATGCGGCTTTTGCTGAAAAACTTACTTCTCATTTTTAGCTCCATGCATTTTGGAACAGGTGGAAAAACGAATATTTGAAAACAGAGTTTAGATAAAATTGCTGTAAAATTAAATGAAAAATGAATAATTAGGACAATTTGAACTATAAATTTGTGTTAGCACTTGGTCACCGAGACGTTATTTTACAAAGCTGCCTTTCCGTCTTGGCATCTAAAACTCTGGGCCGTATCGAAGTTAGAGCTCTAAAAATCCGGTAAAAACAACTTTCATTTATTGCCAGAAAATGCATCCAGGGAGCCTTAAAAAACAGCTCAGAAAAACCAGCTTTGTGGAAAAACAGCAAGATTAAAAAGACACTAGGTTGTTAAAACGTTAGAAAGAAATACTGATGGTGGCCTAAAAGCAGACGAACACAGCATGGTTGAGAACCCCCTTACAGAGTAAATGAGGGTAAGTTAAAATCAAAAAACGAAAACCACTTTCAGGAATAAGCACAGTTAACTTCAACAATACCCAAAACCGAATTTGGGAAGAAATAAATCTCGCTGCAACAAAAATCATTTTTCAGCTACATGCCGTCTTGTTCCTGCAAAAATTGCTTCTTTCTCTGTACTGTGCAGCACATGCATGAAAGAGAATTTTCTTCAGACAAGGCTAACTAAGAGAGCTTCCACAGTTGCTATCGACCGGGGTGACAGCTGACGAAGAGCATACCAATAAATTGCACAAAACAAATGCTTAACAGCTTCAGTATCAACTCTTTTCTGTTATTATAAAAGACTGCGCAAATTCATCACCATTTTATGCTTTTAAAGTGTTAACTCGATGAGAACCATTGACATGTTAACTCGATGAGAACCAAGAGAACCATTGACAAAACTGGTCCCCAAATAAGTTTAAGTTTAGAGGATTAAAAGTGTGTAACAGAATATTGTTTTAAATTACCACAGTTTTTTTACAACACAATTAGTGCCTTGAATTACTGCAGTTTTACATGAAACGAACATCACAATACATCACTGCACTTAAACCAAAAACGAATCTAACAACATTAAACTGTCACAAATGTTGCATTCGTGCAACAGGTTTAGGTAGCAAGACAACGAGAAAAAAAAAAAATATTTTGAAATGTTGAATATTTAGCACTGAAGGATTTTGCAAGAAAAATTAACGCTGT